TTTTTCGAGTAATCAAAATTTCGAGCTCTTTAATTAGGTTTCCTAGAAAATTTTTGAGCATGCACTTTTGTAGTTTGAAGTAGCTAGGTCTCACTGTTGGTTTTTGGCAATTATTTGTATTTGAAGTAGGAATGTTCGATATCGTATCGATTATTCTGAATATCGATATTTCATGGCACGATAATCGATTTTTTGAATCGATATTCCAAGTTCGATATATCGAAGACATCGATACTTTACCCGCAATATCGATATTTAAGTTGAAATTTATTTTTCATCTACAAAAAAATGTATGGGAAAATACTAAAGTAGGTTTAACCAGCAGCTTGTGTATTTATTTAGCTTTTAAGTTTGACAAACCGCTTGAGTAGACCGGCATGCCGTTTTAGTCCTCAGTAAATATACAAGAGGGAAATAACTCAATTCGGTGAGTTGATAGGCAGGTCTAATATTCAGCCCAATCCTAAATAATATTTCCGCACGAGTTTTTTCTCTTTCCGCAATCCTACTATTCTAAATAAAAGAGTTTTGCGGAATATCTCACTTTCCGCTTTCCGCCTATCCTAAACATCTTCGAAAAGTTTCGAACATGAAAAGTAGGTATTTTAAATATAAAGAATGTGCGGAAACTCTTCGAAATCCGTTAGAATTATTTCATCTCGAATTTTCAAGGGAGTTTGCTGCAAAAATGTGAGTATTTTGATAAAATGGAAGAAAAAGACATGCATTTTTTGTTTAAGGTCGAAAACAACAAATAAAACCCAAATGGGAATCCTTGTAAACATGATGGAGGAGAATCCTGCTATTGCGAGAGGATTTTTTAAAGGAAATAAGGAGGAGCTCACCCGATTTTGGCAGAAGGTGAATGTTGAGCTGAATGCGGCAGGCCCCCCAACTAAAACCATTGTGGAATGGAAAAAGGTGATTTCAATGTTTCAAAAAGAGAATCGGTGTATGCATGCAAAATTGTGTCAGTAGTTTGTTAATGTTCCTTTTGCTACACAAATATATACATTGTTTAATTGATGACCCCGACCAGAAAAAATATGTTCGGCAAAAAGTGGCTAGCAATACTAAGCTTCAGAAAGGTACTGCTGGCGGCCCACATATGGTGAAAGTACTCTCCCCCCTTGAAGAAGCCATTTTTAAATTGATTGGGATGAAGCAGTCAGTAGAAGGATTGCCCGTAAAGAAGTTTGGCCTGCAAGAAAACTTTAATGAGATCTGCAATGAAAACTTCTGCCCAGAAGTAGAGTTACCGAATGTAACCGAAAATGAAACTTTGGATGAATCTATGGTCATCAGCGAAGCCAGTCATGCAGATTATACGACTATAAATGTGTCCCTTGTTTCTGCAGATTCATTTGAATTTGTCAGTGAAGAAGCTTCTGCTGATAATACTGAAGTGCCATCCACTAGCAAGAAGGCATCATCCTCAAAAAAAAACTTTTCAAAAAAAGAAAGGGCCGAGCTTGCTCTGACTGAGGAAATAAAAATACAGAAGGAAATCTGCGCAAACATAAAGACTGGAGTGGCAAATCAGGACGAGCATCGCGACAACTTAAGAAAAATTTACCAAAGGTTCGATTTATTTTCATTTTACAAAAATTTACTCGTAATAAAATATTTTTTTTTACATATTATAGGCTAGACAAAATATACGATCTTAAGAAGAAACATTTCAAGGCAGTTGAGCTTATAAAAAAAGAAAAGTTGGAGGAAATCAAAAAAGCGAACGTAATTAAAAGAGAACAGCTAGAAGAAAAGAAAAGGCACAACTATTTCATTGAAGAAATGGGAAGAAATGAAATTGAACATAAAATAGAGAAAACTAAAAGACTGCTGGAAATACAGGAACTGAAAATTTACAAAGACAAAGACGAAAATTTGCAATGTTAGTCTATTCACTAATAGCATTGCGCAAAGCAAAATGAGCAGTGTTGCCATCGTAGCCGTTTTCCGGCTAGATTTAGCCGGTTGCGATAGCAAACAGCCGGAGAAATTTCGATTTAGCCGGCAGCCGATTTGTTAGCCGTTTTGCAGAAAAAAATTAGCCGATTTTGCTATTTGCGTTGTTTTCTTAAATTTCATATATGTATATATGTTTCCATTTTTGACTAAGCGAACCAAAATCTGTTAGAAATGGCTACTAGCCTTATCGTGGAGAAAATTTTCATGTCAGGCAGGGTTGTATGAAGTTGGGCCGATTTCGCTTATTTTTCTCAAGTTACATACCTGATGTCAGTACGAATGGAAATATTATAATAGCGAGGTTTTCGTTTTTTAAACTATAATTTTATATTTTAAACGATGAAGGGATTTTCTTCATAAAATGTTTGTTATAAATGTCTTAATTTTAAGTGTGCAGTTCTATACGCAAACTTAGAAAATAAGAAATTGTTTCACTGTTAGGACACTTAAGATGCGTTTGTGTTTGGATATAGTGCCAACAAACAGAATAAATATTACATGTATGTAGATATTGTCTTCCCAGATAGCGCATATTCAATTCTGCCTAGATTACAAACCATCATTTTTGGCCACTCCCAAAGGTTTAAGGTAAGGGAAAAATTGATATTTTCAAGCACTATGTACACATATCGCTAGCTTAGAGTGAAAAGTTGCTAAGTCCACTTTTTATGAAAACTCATATTTTGATATAGGAGGCTAGAGAAATTGAACACGCATCATTTAGAAAATTATAAAAGTATTTGTTTTATTTTTTCCTCTTCATAAGCAATAAAGGGAAAATTTGCTAAGTCCAAAAGAAGCACCACAAATTCGATAAGGCCAAAATAATACGACATCTTTTAATAAATATCGAATCCTTCTGATTCTTATGGAGTTTTCCTTTGGTTTAAACGCACAAAATGTTTGATTCAAAGTCTTGCGAAATAGTTAAAGAAAATCGCTATAGGAAGATCTTTTCCTCTGCTGTAAAATTTTTAAAATGGGACTTAGCAACTTTTCTTTCTAAGCTGGCGATATGTATTTTTTAAACAAACTTTTTTGCTGAGAACTTATTTAAATTCCAAAAACCGAATGCCAACTTGAATTAAAGGAACCAACACTGAAGTGAGTCAAAATGAAAATAAAAGAGCACAAATTTCTATGTAAAGCAAAACTCTCTGGGAATCCTACAAGACATCTGCCGGTCATATGACCGGTCATCTAAATGGGAGATCTGCAGTCTTTTGGCATCATATTTTACATCAGAATTGCAGGGATTTCTGAAAAATCTGACCAGTTCTTCTGTGTAACTGTAATTTTGCATCCTTTGTCAACAAATGGCCTCGGTTGATGTTAACTTAAGGTCGTTGTTTTACTGCCTTAAAATTGAAGGGAAATTTTAACAGCGTTTTTTATGTGCATTGGTTTCTGTTTGAGTGAATTGAGAATCGGTCAGTCTGAAAAGGCCTTGTAGGGAAGACGATAGGTTTGTTCGTCGAAAATCCAGCGAGTACCACAAATTCTTGCTGGCAAAATTTTTTCCGGCTCGAATTTGTAACTTCTCTCCAAGAAATGGTCTTTTTACTCGTGATTTATTTAAATAAAACATGTGAAATTTAGTTTAAACATTTTAGCCTTTTTAGCCGGTTTTATTTGCCAATTTAGCTGGTTCGTCCAAAAAGTTCTGGCAACACTGACAATGAGACTATAAGCTTAGATTTTTTACTGATAAGATTTTTATTTCTTAACTGAATTACCTGCGTTTTGTTTTGTTATTGAATTAAATACTATAAGTACTATACATACATATGTATGTACAGTGCCGCACTAAATTATTGACACAGGGAATTTTTTACAATGTATGTAAACTTTTTAACTTTAATTTTTCCTCTAATTTATTTATAAAAATTAGCTCATACCAACAAAGAAATAATTAAAACTCGAAACTTTGTACAAAACTCAGGAAAATTCACCAAACTTACATACAAGTTTGCAACTTTTTAATAAGATTTTCTATGAAAATTCTAAGTATGTAGTTTTATAGCCTATTTAATTGTAGTATAATGAAGTGCAAGTTTTAAGTTGGAAAAAAGCGCGTTGATTTTTGGCAATTTTTTCACATAGTTTCTTTCATACGAAGAATGATCGTCAACTTTTTTGTATGAAAGCTGCGTGAAAAAAATTGCCAAAAGCAACGCGCTTTTTATAAACTTAAAGCTTGCACTTCATTATACCACAATTGAATAGGCTATAAAACTACATACTTAGAATTTTCATAAAAAATCTTATTAAAAAGTTGCAAACTTGTATGTAAGTTTGGTGAATTTTCCTGAGTTTTGTACAAAGTTTCGAGGTTTAATTATTTTTTTGTTGGTATGAGCTAATTTTTATAAATAAATTAGAGGAAAAATTAAAGTAAAAAAGTTCTTATACATTGTAAAAAATTCTCTGTGTCAATAATTGAGTGCGGCACTCTATATGATTTTTTATTACAACATATCTAAGTGTTTTATTACATCGAAATAGTAATACATATTTATAGCCAAGCTTACGAGAATTAAATGTGCATAAAAAATTCAAAAATTGCTATTCTTAATTTTTAATTATTAAAAGAATCACGGATGTTATTTCTTATTGATCTCGCAATCTCCATATTGCGCGGCGGCGTAGTAGTATGAGCTTCGTGAACTTCAGGAATATTTACCTCGACTTCGCCATCGGGTATTTCGGGTACATTCGCTCTGAAGTAAATGCAGATGTTGTGTAAGCAACAAGTAGCATTAATAATTTGTGCTGCTTTCTCTGGCGTGTAATGTAGTTCTCGGGCACCAATAATACATCTCCACCTGTTTTTTAAAACCCCGTTTGTTCTCTCAATAATGTTGCGACATTTCGAATGTATTTCGTTGAACTTCATTTCTGCTTGGCCTGGCATCCGATAAGGAGTGATAAGCCACGGTCCCAACGGATATCCAGCATCACCTTAATACACGTAATTGAAAATATGTATGTTTTAATTTCTAGGCGAAGATACGTGCATAACTATGTAACTAAAATTCGGTCTCAAAATGTGAACGTAAATCGCTAACGTTCCAAAATAGCGAGTCATGACTAGTACCCGGATGAGAAGCATCGACGTAGCGAATTTTTAGTTCCTGGTCACACACCTGGAATTAATAGTAATAAGTAAATTTTCCGCAAAAACGATTTAAGAACGTACCAACATAAAATTCAAACTGTAGTATCCTTTTCTGTTGTAGTACAGGTGAGCATTTTCGGATGGTGCGATTATTTTAACGTGTGTTCCATCTACACAACCGACAACAGCTGGAATTTTATGTTTAACATAAAAAAGCAGTCGCATTTGGCTTTTTTCTTCCGCTGTCACTGGAAACTGTACCCACCGTGGGCACAGATACGTCTCAAATATACGTAGCACGTCGGCGAGTGCTTTGGAGAAACTAGACTGCGCTAGTCCAACGTCGTGGTCTTTTCCCACACCCGTCTGATAACCACCTTCCGCAAAAAAGCGCAAACAGGTGCTCAACTTCACTATAGGTGTAACAGCAAACTGCTTCCTACCTGGCTGTGTATGAGTCGTTACCACTTCTAGCAAGTATTCAAACGCCGGTTTATTCAACCTGAAATACTTTTCAAATCTATTTATAGAAGTAGAAAACGAAATAGTTAGTTGTTTTAACACATATTTTTGAACTCCTTTACTCACAAAGGTTGAGGCAACTCCAAGGGGTTCATCAAGTCGCGCAGTTTCCTCCTCGCCACTCGTTGCGCGTTTGTTTGTTGCCTTTCTTCCTCACTAATTTCTCTCACTAACATATTTAACGCTAAGCTATTCATTTTTAAGTTTCCGAATCAACCACAATTAATAAAGTTTCGCCAAAACATGCAAAAATCACATTGGCAAATTATCGAAAAATTGTCAGCAATAAGCATAACAGCTGATTTCGAAAGATAGAAAGAGAAAAAATCCTACTCCTCAAAAATCCTTCTCCCCGACAATTTAGAATTGGAGGATTTTTTCTTAGAGGATTTTAAAATTCGCAAAGGAGAAATTCCGCGAGAATATTTAGGATTGGGCTGATTATATTCAATTGGGAGTAGGATTTTCAACATCGATTTTTCCGATATCGATATTGTTCAGCCCGATATATCGCCATATCGATTTTACATGCAATGAATTAAATCGATTCATGGTATCGATACTTTCTTAAATACCGAACATTCCTATTTCCGATAGTATCGCGGCAGTGGCTACCATTCATCGATAGTGGTGTCAAATTGAAACTATTTATATTATCGATAGTGCCATCGATAGTTTTGCAGCTCTAGTTCCTTGTAGAAAGTTGTATATAACCCTTTGGCTACAGTGGCCAACAACACATACCGGTTAGAAAAAAAACAAGCTGGCAAGCGTACATATGTATACATGAAACTAGATAATTGCGTCTCTGTCAAACTATTTATAGAACTTTTCTTACTGTGTGAAACCCAAACCGACCGCCGTGCTTATTCATACCAAAACTAATTTCGTGGAACCCCGGTGACTTTTCTACGGAACCCTTCGGTTCCGCAGAACACACTTTAGGAAGCTCTGCTCTATACTATAAAAAGAGATGGTAGTAATATATAATTCTGCAAATAGCGCTACCAACTCAGTAGCTGATAGAGTAGCGGGTTGCCATACGTAATGCAAATTTTAAAATATGGTTGCCACGCGGCTACTAGTCTCCTGCTAGTCTCCATACATAATAGGGGTATAAGACGCCTGTGCAAAAAATTAGCATTCCATTTGGACGATTTGAACATATTCATATGGACCTTGTTGGTCCATTACCTGTATCAAAATAAAACCATTACATTTTAGCTATCATTCAAAGACATACACGTTGGCCAGAAGCATGTCCACTTAGGAATATCTCAGCAAATTCTATAGCAACATTTGTTCAAAATTAAGTTCCTCGTTTTGGCATTCCACTTTATATAATACAGCGTTTTTGCTGCATTTAAAATGCAACATTTAGCACTTTCGAACATATGTTTTCGAAGAGCGTTCATGCTATCGCATTTAGCAAATGTACATTTACGCGAGTTCGAAATCGTAGGCTTTTGACAAACAGCCGTGTTCCAGTCGCTTATTCAGATCCGTATCTATTACGATCAATTCTCGCGCAGAAGATAATGTGCAAAAACCCTACTGAAAAGAAAAAAATAAATTTTAAACCAAAACTTCAATACAAAAATTAGAATTGTTTTAACCATGACCGACCATTTGTTTATGTATATATTCATTTGTCGGTGCTGTCAATTATAATTTCCTCACTTAGAGCGTGTGTGAATTGGTAACAAAGTTCGCGGCGAGTAAATTTTTGACAACTATGGGGTGAATAAAATTTCAGTAGCTTACGAGGCTAGTGAAATTTTTGACAAATGCATAGAAAATTTTGACAATCGCAAATATTGTTAATGTGTGTAATTTTTCGTTAACAAAAAAGCTTAAATTGATCAATTGCAATCAACGATGGTAGATGCTATCTTAAAATATCAATTTCCCTTCAAATTGTAATATTTTATGCCGCATAAATCTGCGGTTATCAAAAATTTATCGCTGTCAAAAAAGATTTAATTTCACACAGCAGATTGGGAAAACTGTCTCACTATAGTAAAAACATTATTCAACAGCTTTCCCCATAGAACTTTGTTACCGATTCACACACGCCCTTAATTAGGAAACAAAACAAACAGAATTGAACACAAATTGATCCAGATTTCTATCAGCATCACAACGATATTGAATTTTCTTAACTTTTCCTTATCCAAATAATGTAAAATAATAAATGAAATTTCGATCGGCGATCACTGAAACGCAGCTAGCCACTGTATACTCGAAAATGCAATGTTGCCACTTTTTCTCATTAAACCATGTTCGAATCGTGGAAATTTTGGAAGACCACAGGGTTGCTTTTAGCATTTAGGTTCTTAATGCAAAAATGGAGTTGCATTTAGGTGACGAATTTTGTATGGATAAATGTACATTTAGAGTAGCATTTAGAGCTAAATGCGCTTAATGTGCTTTTACGCGTAAGCAAAAACAGCCCATAATAGTAGATCAAGGATCACAATTTACATCAAAATTGTTTACAGAATTAACAAAATTTTTACGTTTCCAAATTATCCCCAATCAAACGGGATTATATTATTAGGACATTAAAGACTGCTACTACTGCTTCGGAGGACTCTACCCACTGGTCTGAAATTCTATTAAAGAAAATTTAAAATGCTCTTTATTGACAAACATTTAGATTACCGGGTGAATTAGTTGTTACGAACTGTTCTAATAATGAAGTTGATAATACAAATGAAATTCTTACTAAGCTAAGAAAATATTTTTCAAATGTTAGATCAAAGGTTGTACATCACAATAAAGAATACTTTTTTGTTCCTAAAAATTTGGATACTTGTGAGTACGTTTTTGTTAAAGTTATTCACGAGTCAAATTTGCAATCACCTTATAAAGGGCTATTTAAAATTATTTCGAAAAATAACAAAGTATTCAAAATTCAACATGGAAATATGATTAAAACGGTTTCAATAGATTTGCTCAAACCTGCAAATATAATTTCTGGTACAACACAAAACTCTAATTCACTAACAATTCCAAATACAAAAAAGAATATAATATTTAACGTTAATTAATTTATCGTTTTACTGGAGGGGGAGTAAATGAAGTTAAATTTATTTTTCTATTAATTTGTTGGATTATTAAAAAAGGAAATTTTTGATTATTATTAAACAAATTTCTCCGCAAAAATTAAAAGACATTTCTTCTAAAAATTAAATCATCTAACGATATAGAAACTTGGTTTATCTTGGTGGAAAATAAAAATTTTTGAAAAGCTCGAACATTCTCTTTTGGCGACATTTTAAAAATGAAAAAGTATGCTGTCAAGAGCCCAGTCAAAAAAAAAAATCCCTCTATCGCGCTTGCGAGAGAAGAAAAGCAGAATTGCGATTTTCAAGCATGTGAAGACGGCCGGTTAAGGGCGCTCAATTTTTTTGACAAGTTCCAACTGGACAACAAGCAAGCAATTTTTTGAAAATTCAGAAAGGACAACCAGATGACAATCAAGAGAATAATAAACAAAATGCTGATAGGGAATATAAAAAAAAATATGAGAGGAACACGGCACATTTTGCTGCATCGTAATTCATAAAAACCTTCTCCAAACTACATAAAATTGAAAATAAAAAAAATCAAATTGTTCAGAACTTTGGTTTGTTGTTGTTTGATATTGAAAATGAGAATGTGTGTGAGTTTAAGTTTTTAATTTTAAAAGTATATTAGTGGGATTCGTGAGACGTTGCAAAGTTGTTGCAAATGTAGCTTTTTTGCAAAATTTGCCATACTTTTGTATGGACACTCTCCTGCGACAAAATTGCGATATTGCCATAATATTTGAGCTGGAAATCATTGAAAACTCAAAGTCGCAAAACACATATTTTATTGTTCTCGAATACTTCAAGAAAAAGTATATCAGTTAAGGCTGCTTCGAAATATAATTGTAAAAACCAAAAACGCCTGAGTAATTACATGCAAAAACACCATTTTTGACTGCACTTTAACATGTCACGAAAATAAAAATAATGAATCATCAGCGTTTCTATGAAAAACCGACTAGCACGACCGCAAAAAAAATTTTTTTCAAAATAAAAAAACCGTGTCTTATTATTCTCACAAATAACAATATTTTGCTGTAGCGTTTATGAATTTCCAAAAAGAGTGTTTTTTGAACCACTCCAATATATGTATATATTTTTTTTCTACAGACTAGATTCGAGGATAACTTTTAAGTTTTCTGGGATTGAGATACATAATACTCATAATTGATACTAAACTCATTATAAAATAGCACTTATCATATACGCCTTTATTATATTCTTACGCTTTGAACATCTGGCAACATATTTTGAAACGTATTCTGGCAACACATTCAGTGTTGCCACAAAGATTTTTAATTTTTTACCAAAACTAACAAAAAATTACCAAACTCAGAAAAAAATTACCAAATTTTTATAAGCATTATAGTCTAAAGAAATTGAAAATGACGAGCTATGGACCACAACTGTCAAATTATTTCGCCACGTATTCTTATGTAGATAATTATTTTGGCGACGACAGAACTACCCCACGACTGGGATTGTGGCCAGCTTAGCTCTATTTATATTTTTCGAGCGACAGATGAGTTCTTCCGTGTTAAAAGAATTCATATCACTATCGACAGAGCGTTTAGATAATGAAGATGAACAATTTACAGCTGCGGTCGTCTTTTTCAATTTGTTCAGACTATAACAATTCGCAAATATTTTTAAAACATAACACAAAAAAATCACTCAGAGATTTACAAACATTTAAAAGGTGTTTAACATACAGTCTTTTACATAAAATATTTTGCATAACTTAAAACCAAAACATGAATTAAAACATGAAACCAGCAAATGTATCGTTAAACGATAGATGAAATTTCCTTTACAATTATGTAATTGGGTCACATTCGTATTTAATTGCAAAATTGTAATTAGTCCTGTAAAGTTATTTTCTTTCTCCATTGGTTCCAGTAGGCAAAAATTATCCAAGAACCTGATTTGTGGGACTGTAGGGGCTGTGTTCGAGCCGCCATATTGGGAAAAATAGGAGGTTTCTTTAATTTGCTATATTGCGAACACATTCTAAAACCCTTAATCTAGAAGCCGAATTTTCGTAATTCGTGATTCGTGGCTACGTTACGAAAAACGCAAAATCGACATGCTGCAACCCTTGCGGAAAAACTTGCAGCATTGCCAGCTATCAGTTGTTTTTCGAAGACTGCTCTTTGAAGGAAAGGAATTAAAAAAGCACTCATCATGTTCTTGTTTATTGTA